ACAGCATAACAAAATATCTCACACAATCTGAGAGATTTGCGCAGGTTTTGTACAGCATGATAATGTACAGAAATTTAACAATGCACTGTATAGGGAAAAGAAAGATTTCCAATTGGAAAACAAACCTGAACATTTAATCTCAGGAAGTTTTGTTTGGCACAGTCTTTCCAAGCAACAAATTATTTCATCTTCAAAACGTCTCATATTTGCATATTATTTTGAATTACAGTTATTTGTGTATACGATAGACTGTAAGCTCTCTAAGGGGCAAACGTCTTATCTATACTTTGGGGATTGTTACAATAATATGAATAGTGGAGAATGACATTCCATTTTATATATATTCCTCCAGTTCCTGACACAAAATAGATACTTTAAAAAATGATTGTTGAACATTTTTTTAAATCGTTTCTTATTGTTGAACACTCAACTGTTAATCCCTTTGTCTTTGAAAATTTTAATTTCTATCTGCTGGCCTGTGCCCTGATGCCCACAAACATACCTAGATCTCCCTATCTTCAATTAGTTGTGACTTGACCCTCCAATTCCTAAAAGATTTACTACCTTTTCATCAATGAACTGTTAAAAAAGGTAGTTTATACTTTTTGCTTCCATTTCCTTGCAATCTGACTTGAGATGCCGAAACTTCACTAAAACAATTCTCTCCAGGGTTATCAATGATCAAGTCTTAATTGACAAATCCAGTGACCTTTTCATAGTCGTCACCTTCTTCACCTCTCTGCAGATAGCCTCGCTTTCCAGATGCTCTGTCTTTTCTAGGTTTTCATGACATTGGTCATCTTCCGTGTCCTGTCCCACTATAGCTATGTACCCAAGAGTTCTCTCCTGGGTGCTCTTATCTTCTCTCTGTCTCTGCCTCTGTGTCTTTATCTCTGTCTCTATCTCTGTCTTTCTCTATTTCTGTCTCTCTCTCTCTATCTCTCTGTCTCTCTCTTTTGGTCATCTCATCTATTCCCAACAATTTCATTACCACCCTTTGCAGATGACTCTGAAACCTACCAACCCTGGCCTCTCTCCTGGTACCATATCTTTGACTGCCTGATAAACATCTTCAGCTGGACTCCCAATGTCATCTAAACTCAATATGTTCAAAGCAGAACTCATTATTTTCCTGGCCAAACCTACTCATTTCCCTAACTTTTATATTTCTGTTGATATCACCATCCTCCCTAGGTGACTATCTGAGGTTCACAACCTGAGAATCATTATCAACTTTTCCCACTTCCTTACTTCTCATATCCAGTCTTTTCCCAAATCTTGTCGTTCTACCTGCACAAAATCACCTTCATCCATCCCCTTCTCTCTACTCACATAATTACCACCCTGGTTCAGGACCTCACCCCTGCCATACCTAGATTATTGTAACAATCTCCAAATTTGTCTCTCTGCCTCTTAATTCTCCCTTCTCTAGAATGTCTTTTACATAGCTGCCACATTGATGTCCCTGAAGAACAGACTTGAACATACCATTCCTTTGCTCAAGAACCATCAGTGATTCCCTATTCCCTCTAGGACAAATGACAAATTCCTCTATATAGTAGTTACAGCCTTTCATAGTCTAATTTCAACCTATTGCCCCTTTATAAACTATATTTCAGCCAAGCTGATCAACTTGCTGTACCCATATATAAAATTCCATCTGCAGCCTTCATACCTTTGCATGTACTGAGTATCACAAATGTTTCTGATAAGTGATTATAGGGCCATGCCCTGGGCAGCTCAGAGAGCAATAATTTGTGATTACATGGAGTCCCATTGGAAGCTGAGTGATCAGTTCAGGGTAAAGCTGAAATTGTGTGCAGAATTTTCAGCAACAGAAATCCAAGAATCCTTAGGCCAGGGTCAAACAGTTCTCTCTCTGAGAAACAAATTTAGAATTGTAATAGCCCAGTCATTAAGTTTAATTTTTAGGCACAAAAGAATCTGTTGCCAGGCACTACTTCACCATTTGTGTCTCTACTCATTACAGTTTTATAGGACTTTATAGATCATCTATTCTAACCCCTCCATTTTACAGATGGGTAAATAAAGGTCTAAAGAGTTTAAGCATTTAGTGCTATTGGTAAGATCAAGACAGAAAAGCTTTTGTGTTCTGTGGGATCCTGGGCAAGTCCCTTAAACCTCTCTAAGGCTCAGTTTCCTCATTTGTAAAATGGGTATTACTGTAGCACCTACCTCACACACGGGGTTGTTGTGAGGGTAAAATAAAATTAATATATGCAAGACACTTAATACACCTGAAAGCACTATATAAATGCTATTTATGATTTGATGACATCAAATAACTAATTTCACGTCTAATTTATATCACATAACCAAGCACTAGAAGCAGCAATGTGGCTAGTGAATAGAGAGAGATGACCTCACTCAGGAAGACCCTGGTTCAAGTCCTGTCTCTGACACCTACTGTGTGATTCTGGTCAAGACACTTATTTAACCTCTTCGTGCACCAAGGCAGCTCTAACACTAAATTGTAGAACAGGAGACTATCTGCATTTATAGAAAAAGTTTCTCATGGGGGACCTCCTTACATTAATGAAATCATAAGAACAGTAATAAAATAAAAAGAAAGTCAAGTTAACTAGCATCTATCAAGTGCCTACTATGTGTCTTAGAGCAGCTAGTAGTACAGTAGATAGAGCACTGAGCCTGGAGTCAGAAGGACTGAGTTCAGATTGTCAGCAGGCAATCACAATGTCATGAGACTTATGTGAAAACCAGGTTTATTCCAAGAGAAATGAACATGCATGTGGAACCCAAAGGGTTCACAGTCCTTACAGAAGTTTGCATATTTGTGACAGTACAAGAAAAGGGGAAGAAAATCGAAAAGGGTGTGGTATGGGAAGGGAAAGGTGGGGAAAAGGACAAAACCCCTCCTGAAGGGGAGGAGAAAGGCCAGATTCTTTTCCTTTGGGAACTGCTAGATTATGAAGATAGAGGGTTGGCTTATCTGTAAAGGATCTGTGTAATGCACAAGCATTTTCCCAATTTGGCATAGACTGGTTGGCACCTGTCTTGCTCCCCAAGGACACACAGGGAGTCCATCTTGAGGTGCAAACAACAAATTATGTTAGCTGGAGGTGGGACAGGGCTTCGTCCTTGACACAGTCAGGGTCTTCTGCATGCTCTGGATCTAATGTTTCTGGAAAATATGGCAACTCAAAAAGACAAATTCAGGGGACTGCTTAACAGCCCTTACCAAAATCCAGCCTCAGACACTTACTAGCTGTGTGACCCTGGGCAAGTCACTTAATCTCAGTTTCCTCATCTGTAAAATGAGCTGCAGAAGGAAATGGCAAACCACTCCAGTATCTTCGCCAAGAAAAGCCCAAATGGGGTCACAAAGAATCAGACATGATTCAACATCAACAACTATGTGTTAGACACAATAACAAGCATTAAATAGTAACTTCTTTTCTCTTCTTTCTTTCCTTTTTTTTCTTCTTTTTTTGAAGCAATCGGGATTAAATGATTTGCCCAGGGTCACACAGCTAGTAAGTGTCTGAGGCTGGATTTGAACTCAGGTCTTCCTGACTCCAGGCTGGGGCTCTATACACCGTACCACCTAGCTGCCCCAATAGTAATTTCTAAATAGAAAAATACACCAAGGATTACTGATTTTTGTCAGTATTATCAACTCCAAGTAAAGAAACTCTCTCTACCAAAGCATATTGCAACTTCTCCCTGATTTAGGAGCTAAGTCCTACAGAGGTGGATGAGACATGGAGAAGTGACTTTGCCATGGGTCACACAGTCATTATGTATCAGAGGCCAGCACTTGAACTCAGGTCTTCCTGGCTCTGAGACCAGCTCTCTCTCTGCTATAGCTTGCTCCTTCTCTAAATTTAATGATTCTACCTTTAAAAAAAAAAAGAAAACAAAAAAGGGCAAGTGACATACCTATAAACAAATAACCAACAAGGTGGTGGGTAACTTTCATGGGTTCAGAATTTAATTTTTTAAATGAAAAAGTCAAAATTGGTAAAGGTAATTTGAATTAGTTTACATTTTTTTAAAAATTCCTATTTTTATACTTTGGTTAAAAAAAAAACCCGATCAGACAAAATACATGTCTCATGGATACAAGGAAAACTAAGTTCACTTCCCAATAGTATTTGATTAGTTAATTTCTTTCTGTTCAGGAGACTGCAGGAAAATCCACTATCAATAAGCAAAGAATTTCAGAGCCAGAAGCGACCTCAAAGATCATGTGCTCCAACCTTCTCCTGTCATAGATGAAGAAACTAATTAAATGTTATATAAAAGTAAGAAAATGGACGAAAAGTAACAGAATTCAATAAAATGGCCACATGACATGTTTAAGGTTTTTTTTCTCTCTAAATACTTGTTTTGTCATTTAAGGACAAAGAGGTAGATTAATTGATAAAGCCCAGCACACATCTGGCTTGGCAATCTGAGAAAAACTCCCTTAAAAATGAGAAAAATTTTAATTGAAGCAACCTGAAGAAAGAAACAATTTATAGGACAGAAGCTTCCCTGTGTTTTTATGAAATGAACTGTCCTCATGGCCAGATGAAAATGCACAGGAAAGAACAGAGGAAGTTCAGAAGGAAGCACAAACAGAAGTGTTGAAAGTAACATGGAATTCATTAAATGCTTTTTTTTCTAGTAAAAGCAAATGGTATGAAATGCAGAGCCACAGTTTCATAAACTGAACTCATTTGGGGGGGGGAGTTCTATTGTGTATGTGGAAATGCTCCTTTTGAGGGGACTTTAAGTTCAGAAATAAAAAAATTAAATTAAAACAATTGTCAAATATGATTTTTAAATAAAGAATTTCACCCAGCCACCTTGGCACTTAGATAATAAGCAAGCTGGAACTTGCCCCACATGGTACAAAGAAAAGAACAGTGATTGACTTTGACATCCATGTTTTTACATGTCTCACCAAAGCTTTTTGGGGTGTTGTGTGTCTATGAAGGAGGAAAGGAGGGGATGTTTTTAAGGTTGTCACTTACAGCTGGTCCTGCAGTTCCACAATAATGTACTCCAACTGCTCCTTCTCTAATTTGTGGGTCAAATCAGAATCTTCAATCCTCTGAAGCAATAACTTGTTCTGAGAAACAGATTCAGCCAGCTGGTTCTCTCGCAGTCTTAACAGTTCTTCAAGATAGCCCTGGAAATAGAGCAACACCAAGACAGCTCACCGTAACAACAATGCGACAACATAATAGAACATTTCTTCGGCACCCTTCCAATAGCTGGCATCTTGGTCTCATAATATTATGAAAACATTTTAAAGTACGGTATTTTATGTTTGATAACAAAATAGTTTAAAAAAAACCCAACCCTCAATGATCTCAGAATTATTAGCTGGAAGAGACCTTGGATCTCATCTACTCTAACATCCTATGCTATGCATGAATCCATTGGACAAAATACCTGACAAGTAGTCATTTAAGCTTTTCTTGAATACCTCCAGTGATGGACCATTTACTACTTCACTGGGCTGTTGTAATTGTTACATTTTTTTTCTTTTTACTAAGCTGAAACCTACCCCCTTATAACACTGCCCAACAGAGCCACCTGGCACTTGGAAAATTCTCAAAAATATAATATGAAAATATGTTACCTCAAGATATCCAACTATTGCTTCTACTCTCACTCCATGACAGACATATCTGTCCATTTTCTGGTCACATATATCCTTAACAATGTTCTTTACACACAACTCCCTCCACACTAAGTCATTCTAAAGAACAGGCTGGGGTCTACTTACTCAGACTGTGAGTCCATTACCCTTTGGGTTACGTCTTCCTGTGACTCCAGAGATTGTGGTGTACCCTAATTTATAGCCACACAATGTTCCTTGCAGAATATTATTGCTAAAGAGACTGACTTTTGAGGCAGTGAGCAGTTGGAATTATTGAAAATATTCCATCTGTTTACCCATCCAAGACACCCAAATTGAAGGACTGACTCAGTGGACTATAAATGTTTGTTGATTGTTTAAACGGGCCAATGTTGTCTATGAGACTGCATGCCACAATCTGGGCAATATGCATTTTTTTCAACCACTTTGTTTTCTAAACATGTATGGCTAACCTAATAGCTTTCAAATAATAATTATTAATATTTATAACAAATAAATATTATTAATTTTTTACTGGGGATGCTGTGTAATATCCCAAGGCTTGATGCAACCAGAATATTATCTACAAAGAGGAGCATTTTGAAGACCAGATCGCCACAGGAAATCTCTCTCCAACTTGGTCTCCCTTTGGATCTCCTCCATCACAGTGGCAAACACCTTTCATGAGGTGATACACATTCACTAGCCTTCAATTTGACCTTCAGTTTGGACATCCTCAATGAAACTGGTAAACATTTGAAGGTAGTACATCTCCCTGTTTTATGAATGGCTTAAAGTCACTGAACAAAGTTATCACCATATTGCACAATATTGCCTTGCTTTTAATTGATGTGTAGAGGACACCTTGTTTGAGACTGATAACAAGCATCATTTTATTCTACTGAGTTAAATGTTTCTTTTTCTTATTCCTAACCAGAACTTGTACTCTATTCCTGGCATCATGGAATCTGAAAGGTAAGTTTTTGCCTTATCTTGTCCAGATTCAGACCTCCACCTCACTTACTGGTCATCTTCCAACCATGCCACCACATAAATTTTGCCCTCCTCTCCCCCGACATAATTTCCAGCTCCCCTTTCTATATTGTCTTCCCCCATAGGAATGTGAACTCCATAATGACAAGGACTGTCTTGCTCACTTGCATCCATATCACTGACACTTAGTATACTTCCTGGCACAAATTTTTTTCCATTTATCTATCTCTGTCTCTCTCTCTCTCTCTCTCTCAACAGTTCTCCACCCCTCCCCCCTTAGAGTAAAGACGTGAGTATAGATGGTTTTATTGTTGTTCCCGTGTTCAACTCTTCCTGACTCCATTTGGGGTTTTCTTTGCAAAGATGCTAGAGGGATTCGCCATTTCCCTCTCCAGCTCATTTTACAGATTAGGGAGCTGAGGTAAACAGGGTTAGGTGATTTGCCCAGGGTCACATAGCTAGTAAGTGTTTAAGGCCGGATTTGAACTAAGGAAGATGCATCTTTTTGTCCACTGCACCACCTGGCTGACATAGATGGGCTTATTCTTTGTATTTGCATCCCCAGCACCAAGCACAGTGTAAGTGACACAAAGTAAATGTGTAATAAATACTGATTGATTAAATGCACACTAAACAGGATAATGTAATCTAAAAAATCAATAAACAATACTCATGATAGGATTTTATATTCTTCATCTTTTAGATCGATGACTTTAGAAAATGGTATATGAAATCACACCTATATCTATCTCACATGTTGACTAAGAACACACTAAATGCATACACAGGCCATTCTCAAAGGATTTTCAAAAGAAGAGAAATCAGTTGTATGAATTGCTTAACACTTGTTACTGCCTTTTTGGTCACCTTTTCTGGGAGGGAGGAGGTGGGATATGGTCCATTATTTTGAAATTGTCTCCTTTTTAAGATATCTTGAAAATCAAGCCCTAAATTCCTTTAAAATTACATTGCCTATGGATAGAGCACCGGCCCGGAGTCAGGAGGACCTGAGTTCAAATCTGGCCTCAGACACATAACACTCACTAGCTGTGTGGCTCTGGGCAAGTCACTTAACCCCAACTGCCTCACCAAAAAAAAAAAAAATTATGTTGCCTACCTATACATGGTATAGATACATATTCAGTCCTCTTTTTCTATTCTGCTTTGTAAATGGAAATGCTCATTTTATCTGATGTTTAAGTTCAAAATTTTTAAAAAGGTAAAATAAAATAAATAAAATTATAATGTCTCCAGCACAAATTCCTTCCACATGTCTACAAGAAGGTATAGGAGAATTGTAACCTAGACCACTGGAGGGAGTATCCATACTTTTAAAATACATTTTACTAGCAAATTGAGTTTGGAGAGGTTTTTTGTTTTTTTTTGGTTTTTTTTTTTTTGGTCAGACCCAATTCACAATTTCTTAATTCAACTTTTTAAAAATAAGTTTTTAAGGATTTCTTTTGCTTTTTACATCACCATTGTTTTCCCCAGTATCCCCCCATTTCCTTCCTTGAGAGTTATCCAATAAAACAACATTTTTAAAGACAAACAAAAAGAAAAGGAAAAAAAAATCAGCATAACTGATCTTTAAATTTTTAAGTCTGAAAATATGTTCCTCTTTTTCTGCAAAGAGGTAGAGTGGGAGTGTCTTCTCATATCCCTTCTTTTATGCCATGCTTTTTCTTTTTAGTTTTGCGGCATTCACTTTTGATTTCTTTTGTGTGTGGTTGTTCTTTCTATTTACATTGTTGTAATTATTGTGTATGTTGTTTTCTGGCTTTGCTTACTTCAGTCTTCATTAACTTATATAGATCTTTCTAATGCTTCCCTGCATTCATAATTTCTTACAACATAGCAATATTATTCCATTCCATTCATGGACCACAACTTGTTTAGCCATTCCTGATTGGGTGGAAATCTACTATATTTCTGATTCTTTGCTTTCACAAAAAATTCTGATTTAGATATTTTGGTGTGTATGGACCTGTTCCCCTCGGAGGCTCACATATGGCCTCGTGGGAACAGGCTTGATGTCTCTGTCTGCCCCAATGTTTGCTCTTTCATTTTAGGTCAAGGAGATTAATTTGGAGGCTCTGAACTTGTGAGACAGGAGAATGAGCCTCTTGGAGTTGGAGTGCATGCAGCCCAGCTCAATATTCCAAGGAGTAAGGAGTGAGTTTCAGGAGAGAGCCCAGTGGTCACAAACACAAGGATTCATCTAGCAGCATTGCCCCCACTTGGAACTCAACTGGATGAGGCCATTTCATAGATTCTATGTCCCCTTCTTCCCAGAAACCAAGGTCAGATAGGAGAGAATGTGCCCTCACAGTGCTGGGAGAAAATGTTTGTACCTATGTTCTTCCTGTGTCTTCAAAGTAAATATAACTATTTGATGTTAGGTAGTTAAATGGAACTGAGACACTAGTCAACGGCAGCTACCAGTGGGGAACGCATAACCAAGAGGGGCTTGAGCTAATGGCATAGGAGAAGAGACACGAAAAGCTGCTCAGGACACCACTAGAACCTGGAGAGAGAGAGACGTAGCCAGCCTTGCTCTGATAGTCAGTGAGACCAAAATGTCTCCCTATACTAGTTCGAGACCGATTTTCTGTCCTCTATGCCATACTGACCCTGGAATAATCTGTTTTAAATTTCAGGGCAACATCTTATTAAACATTAAAATTGCTGCAGTTTCTATCTCCAGGCACCCAAAGACCAATGGTCTACCTATATTTTCAATGTCCACAGCAGCTGCTGCCTAAAGAAACACACCTGGAATTTCTTCCAGATTCAGTGGAGCTAGAATGTGAAGTAATGAGAATGCTGTTTTTCAAGGAAGTCACATTCAAGAACATTTGATGTAGGAAAGCAGGCACTCCCTAAAAGTACTCTGGTATCCTCTTCCTGGATTCCTCCTCCTTCCCAACATGTAGGACAGCCACTCCTTCTCCTGACATTCTTCTGCCTGAGTCACTCCCTGCTACAGGAAACTCCCTATTATCAAATGTGGGCAGGGGATGAGCTTCTGGTTATTCAAATATTAAAGGGTTTTCATCTGTGTACATTGTGCACAGCCAACTTTCTGTTAGCCTTAGAACATAATAAAGGATATTTAACATCCAAAAATATACTTAGATAATCTAATCTTTCCCATGCCTGAGAAGGGGCTTCAGGATTTTACAGCACCTCTGGGTTAGGATTATACTCAAACACATCTGTAGGTGTGCAGAAGGTCCACTTAAGAGCAATTTCTATGTGACAGGTCAAATAAACCTGTGTTCGAGAGGCAGAATAGTACAGTGTTGAGAACACCGGCCTTAGAGTTAGGAAGACCTTACATAAGCATAGTTCCGAGCTCTGATACATACTAGTTGTGTGACCCTGGACAAATCAGTTAAGTCCTTAATTCCCTCACCTGTAAAATGAAGATAATAATACCTAAAGTATCTAATTTTCAGGACTGTTTTGAGGCTCAAGTGAGATAATAAGGAGTTTCCCAGAAGCCTCAGTTCATTGTAAAGCTATTAAAGCTTAACTGCACTAACACTTTTGGGACACCATGCCTCCATAAAAGAGCTTTCCAAATGTCAAAATGCTGTATCAATGCCAGCTATTATCATTATTATTACTACTATAAGCTAATTTGGAAGGTGCATCAACTCCATGATATCATGTGGCCCAAGGCAGTTTGTATAAAGAAAGAGCCCAATGTGGGTTTTCCCTAGATCCTTTCAAAGATATTTACAAAGAACAAGGGAAATAAAAGTGCATGTGAATCATAAGAACCTGAGAGGCTGCCAGTTGGACCTTTGACAAGAGATATCACACTGCTTCCATCAAGTTCTCTTATCTTGTCTTCCTATAGTCTTCCCTCTATCCTTATTCCTATGTAGAAGAACATTGCCATCAGTAAACACTATTACAATATTTTAAATGTCTCTTTGAGTGCCCAGAGTAATAAGTTCAATTTATGAATGAGAACAGAAGTCTAAAGAAGGAAAAAAAACTAGGACATGTGAACCTATACTTTATCCTAGCACACAAGGGAATGACAATCAGTTTGTCCAATGACTTTGAGAAATGCTCTCTCTCTGTATGTATGTATGTATATTTTTATATATATATAAATACACACACATATATGCACATATACACACACGCACACACATATATATGCACACATATACACACACATATATATGCACATATATACACACACGCACATATATATGCATGTATATATACACACAACACATATATGCATATACATGCACACATGCACACACACATATATGTGCACACATATACGCACACGCGCACACATATGCACACACATATACACACCCGCACACACATACATGCACACGCATATATACATACATACACATATATGCACACACATACACATGTGTAGACATATATATGCGCACACATATATACACACGCACACATATGTATACACACACGCACACATATATATACACACACGCACACATATATATACAGATATATAATAACACAGTTTGGTATGGAGAATAGGAAATGTTCCACTCACTTAGCTTTAACGTGTGGGACAGGAGCAGATGAAGACATGGAAGCAGCAGAAAGCAATGAGGCAGCAAAGCGCTTCAGAGGAAGTAATCTGTGTCTACTACTTTCATACGTCCCACTGCGCCCAACTTATCACTAAATACATCAGTACGGAAATTTCTTCTACCTCTGTAGGTCGGTATTTATTAAGCTCCTACTATGTGCCGGATACTGTGCTAAACACAAGGGAGTTGCTATGGTCCAAATAAGTCATCGCGTAGTGGCTAGACCTCTGGTAATGAGACTCTTTGGTATTAGGAGGCTAGTCTTCCAACAATAGGGAAATAATCCATCACCAGGCACAGATCTAGATCTGAAGTATTTTCAGCTTAACATTACCTGCCAGAGCTTGAATTTCACTGTTGTAACAAATGAGAACTGATGCTTACCTCCACACTTCAATGAGGCAACAGAATGGAATGTTAGTAGAAAAGTTACTCAATAAGTAAATGAATTGTTATGAGTAAAAATAAAGTCCCCATGTATGACAGAATATTTATAATAGTATCACTTCGGGTGATAGCAAAGAACTAGAAACAAAGCAAATGCTTACCAACTAGGGAATGGTTAAACAAAATGTGGTTCATGAATGTAATGGGATATTGTTGTGTTATAACAAATGATGAATATAATGAATACAGAGAAACACTGAAAAGATTTAGCTGATTTAATCAGAGTGAGGAAAGCAAAGCCAAGAAATTAATAATGTAAACGGACAAAAACAAAACAAAATAACCAAAAGTAATTTACAGGAAAAAAATCATAAAGAATAAATTGCATGACCCCAGAGAAAGGATGTAAAAAGATGTCTCCCCCTCTTCTTTGCAGATTGGAGAATATTGCCCATATGTTCAGTTTTTTTCTGTATTGTTTGGTTTCACTGATTTTTTTCTCTTTTTTCCTCTTTTTTCTTAAAAAAAACATTCTTTGCTATATGAGATGATTCTCCGGGAAGCAAGGATACTGGGGAAATTCAGGCTATTTAAAAGCAAAAGACACCAATAAAAACTATTTAAAAATCAATAAATTGAAAATAAGCAACAGGTACACATACCTCACCGTGTTAGAAAAGTAGTTACATAATTTTATTGCCTTATCTAAATCCAATAAATGTCACATATACCGATACAGATTAAAATCACAAACACACAAGAGTGGAAAAAGCTCTTGGTACAGAATTAGAGCTGCCAATCATTATCTGTGTGCTTAAACTTCAATTTCTACATCAGTAAAATAAGGAGAATGGGCTAGAGGATCTTAAAGATCCTTTCCAGATTCCGTGTCCTATGAATATTAATAAACAGAATGTGGAAGAAAAGAAGATTGAATTATGGCACTAAATTAGGAACTGTCAAACAATAAAAGTCTAACCAATATGGTGATGAACTCCTACATTCTTAATTAGAAGGAACAAAAAGAACACCAAAAGAAAGAAATTAAAAGATCATTTTATTAAAATCTCTTTTAAGCAAGTACTAAAGAAATTATGGGTAGCTAGGAGGCACAGCAGATAGAGTGCCAGGCATGGAGTTAGAAGACCTGAGGTCAAATCCAGCCTCAGACACTGACGAGACCTTGGGCAAGTCACTTAACCTTGTTTGCCTTAGTTTCTTCATCTGTAAAATGACCTGGAGAAGGAAATGGCAAACCCAAGAAAACCCCAAATGGGCTCATGAAGATATAACTGAAAACAACTGAACAACAACAACACTGAAATTATACAGTCTAAGTTTAGGCTGAGAAACAAGAGATAGCATTACAAGATATATATAATGGATGATTTTGATTATATTAAATTAAAAAGGCTTTGAACAAATGAAAATAAAACTAGAAAGAAAGCAGAAAGCTGAGGAAATTTTTCTTACAGCAAGTTTATCTGATAAAGGCTTCATTTCTCAAATATATAAAGAACTGAGTCAAATTTATAATAATACAAGTCATTTCGCAATTGATAAATGGTCAAACAAAACAAATAGGCAGTTTTCAGACGAAGAAATCAAAGCTATCTATAGTCATGTGAAAAAATGCTTTAAATCGTTATTGATTAGAGAAATGCAAATTAAAACAACTCCGAGGTACCACGTCACACCTATCAGATTGGCTAATATGACAGAAAAGGAAAATAACAAATATTGGAGGGAATGTGGGGAAATTGGGACACTGATGCACTGTTGGTGCAGTTGTGAACTGATCCAACCATTCTGGAGAGCAATTTGGAACTAAACCCAAAGGACTACCAAACTGTGTTACTGATCCAGCAATTGATCCACTACTATCCAAAATCCAAACAATTGATCCAGCAATACCACTACTAGGTCCGTATCCCAAAGAGATCAAAGAAAAGGGAAAGGGACTTACATACACAAAAATATTTACAGCAGTTCTTCTTATGGTGGCAAAGAATTGGAAACTAAGGGGATCTCCATCAATCGGGGAATGGCTGAACAAGTTGTGGTATACGATTGTGATGGAATACGATAGTTCTATGAGAAATGATGAACAGCATGCTTTCAGAAAAGCCCCAAAAGACTTACATGAACTCATGCAAAGTGAAGTGAGCAGAAGCAGGAGATCATTGTACACAATGAGAGCAATACTGTATAACGATCAACTGCGAATGACTTCACTATTCTCAGCAATACAGTGGTCCAAGACAATTCCAAGGGACCTATGATAAAAAATGCTATCTGCCTTCAGGGAAAGAACTGATGGAGTCTGAATGCATATCAAAGCATACTATTTGTCACTTTGTTTTTTTCTTTTTTTTTTTTTTTTTTGTTTGGTCAGTGTTTTCTTTCACAACATGACCAATATGGAAATGTTTTGCATGACTGTATATGTATTACCTATATCAAATTCTAGCTGTCTCAGGGAGAAGGGAAGGAAAAAAGGGAAGGAGAAAATGTGGAACCCAAAATTAAAAAACAAGTTAAAACTTTTCCACGTAATCGTGGAAGACATCATTAAAATAAGTTTAGGCTGAGGTAAAGGATCATATTAATTTCCGAAGAATTGGTTAAGTACCTTTTGTTCCAGGGTAAGTTGATACTTCTGCTTGACTCTCTTACACTTGTTGAACCAACTATTTTCATCCATGATGAAAGGAGGACCAATGTTCTCTGGAGTGCTGCTTTCACTACCACTGCTTCCCAAAGTCCTTAATTCTTCTTCATCACTGCTGATGCTATCGGAACTACAAATACAAGACATCAGAAGCAAATAAATAGTATTTACATGCAACCTTTGAATGTAAAATTAACTTTTGAAATTGAAAAATCCATCCAATATAGCTTCAGTTTGTTTATAATAAATATTTCTGAACCCAAGTCTAAATGTCTCATCTTTGGAGACTTGAGCTAAAGACCTAGTGGGAAGAGGCAGTAAAGCTTTGGATGAACATGAACAAGGCAATGCACACCTAGAATGAGGATTTTACCACACTGCAGAAAATATATGTTGTCCATTTTTACGGTCTATGACAAATTGTGACAGGAAGTACTATAATATTGGAAGGAAATCAAACCGCTTTCAATTATAAAAAATGGGAATGCAGAGTGGCACATGAAAGCAAATGAAACCAACGTATATTTCCTCTTCTTAAATGCATCAATTCAGTAATGAGTGTCTATCATGAGATAACTGGTCCTGCTCTAATTGCTCTAAGCAAATTTCCAATTATTCTCATGCGTTCTTCTTTCACTACAGTTAAATGAGCTCAGGTATTTAATGACAAGTTCAAAGAAACACGACGTTATCCCAGAAGGAAAAAAATCCAAGGAATATGTTTTTGACACTAGTACTTTGGAATACCACAACGCTGGCCAATAGGAACAGAGATGAGTCTAATGTTTACCAACATCAATGCTCAGGCATTATTATAGGAAGAACAGCAGGAATATCCATTAACTATTTGTATAATGTTTGCCTGAAAAATGACTGTCCAAAAGAAAATGGAACAAATGAGAAAATTAGATGTGTTCTATGGGCTTTGTGGCATCGTTGCCCTTAAGGAGTTTATATCATAATGAAAGATTCCTTGCTTTTGTTTAGGATGCTATCATGCTCATAAAACACATTTTATAGTATCTTATTTAACTTCAGTTTGATGTGCTGGTAAATGTATGTTCTTCCTATTTTATTATCATTATTATGTTATGATTCTAATTCCCTATCCCATCTATCAGGTGTTTACCATCCCTCTTTGATTTTGATCTGTGACATCAGTGTAATGGCTAGAATGATGGACGTGGACTCAGGGAAACTTGCTTCAGACCCTTAGAAGATGGGGGACCCTGACCAAGCCAATAGAATGTAAATGACTTACAGGCAGGTACCAGGTTTTTGCCTTCCTTTATAATCTCCAGTGCTTAGCACAGTCCTTGGCATATAATAAGTGCTTAATAAATGCTTGTTCATTGGCTTAAGCCCTAGTGGTCAGTTTCCTCATCTGTAATATGGGGGGTTAGACTTGATGATATTTATGGTTTTTTCCAACCCAACATCTATGACCCTATGATCATTCTCAGGGTTGATTTGATTTTATCTTTTCATTATGGTGTATTTAACAGTATTATGTTGGCTATAAAAATTTGGATTGGTTTTTTTTCAATTTACAACACAATTTTATTGAAAATACTTGAGTACAATATTAGAGGAGATAATAGGAAATTCATTTTGTAACAGTGATCAACACAAGCACCACAAACAATTCTTGGACATTAACAATAGCTAATAAAGGAAAGATATGGTATAAGTACTTACTGATTGATATGACAAAGTTTTAGGGTGAACAACTCTGGTATGATCTTCCCTAGTCATATTATTTGGAAAGTGACATAAGCTGGTTCTATATGCACATAGATGAATTGGATGTAAATGATTAAATGATTTTTAATGAAGTAATAATAATACCACTACTTGAGACTAGTCTATAACAGTTGTTTAACTATTGTAATTTTACGAAGGAAGGAAATACGGATATTCACAGTTTCTTGACTACTACAGGCTACCAAAGGCATTTGAAAATTTATGAGATTATCATAAATCTCAAGAAATAAACACAAGCTATAAAAATGTAAAAGAAGGTTTCAATACAGCAAAATAGTTGAAAAGATGAAATACCTTTGGGTAAACTTCAAATATGGTGTATAATCTATGACAGCTGGGAAGTTGCCATCCAATCCCTCTCCCTTCAGGCAGAAGCTAAGATAATAGAGACAATCAATAAGTGTTTTACATTAAAACAAAAAATTAAAAGAGGAAGTCTAGCTTGATGATTTGATTTTGTTGTCAAATTGATGGTGGAATAAAGTTTGTTTTAAGTCATTTTCAGTTGTTTCCAACCAAAACTTCAAAAGACACACTTCTAAACTTTACTGACAAGTCATTTCACACAGTGAAAGATTCTATAGCATAAAAAGTACCTTACTGAAAAAATAATCAAGTCCCACAAGTATTCTTTTGGTTTGGAGCTATATTTTCATTTTTCTTTTATTAGATTTTGAAAAATTATTTCTACAAGAAAGGCAATGTGCTCTGTTTAGATAAATCTTTATATATACTGCATAGGCTTACTTCAATCTTAAATAAAAGTAAGATATTTTAAAGAAAGTTATTATTTGTGAAGAATTACTCTACTTAATGCTATCTATACAAATTAAGGCTCAATTCAGAATTTTATTTTTGAACTAGACCTGACATCTCATCAAAGTAGGAAACTCCTGGGGCAGCTAGGTGGCGCAGTGGTTAGAGCTCCAGCCTTGGAGTCAGGAGGACCTGAGTTCAAATCTGACCTCAGACACTTGACACTTGCTAGCTGTGTGACCCTGGGCAAGTCACTTAACCCCAATTGCCTCAGCAAAAAAAAAAAAAAAGGTAGGAAACTCCTGGTCAAGAAACTCTTTCCACCAGTGAAGACTGGAATCTCATATATAACCTAAAGTCTCAAGGGTTGTTTGGAGCACTAAATAGGTGAGTGACCTTCTTATGGTAACAAAGGTGGTATGTGTTAGAGACAGGATTTGAACCCAAGCCTTCCTGACTCCAAAACCAGCTCCTCCATCCACTATGCCACAATGCCCCTCTTGCTTAGAATATTTTAAAATAATAGAAATAGTTTGGTAAAATGGATAGACACATAATAAATGATCAATGAATCTAACTGCCTTGGGTTCTAGTCTCAATTCTACCATTTACTGGCTGCATGACCTTCAACAAGTTATTTAGCTTTGCTGGGCCTCAGATTCTTAATTTGTAAAACCGAGCAAATTAACCTACATGACCTCTAATGATACTATGTTGACCTCTAAATACACTATGTTCTAAGCTACTGTGCTGCTTTATTATTCAATATCCCATGGTTTTAGTTGAAATGATCCTCATCAAAATTAAAAGATTTCTTTACTTCAGTTAAAGAAAAAACTATTATTAGCATGTTGTTTGACCATTTTGTGGATTAACCGTTTCCTCTTTTAAATATGAGGTGGCTTCTCCCTGCTACACCAGAGTTTTTCAGGCCATCTCCCTCTACTTTTCAGCCAGTATATGCTCAAGAAATGCAAACTTTCTATTAGCCTAAGGAATACGCAGGCCTATTTTTAAAAAATTATATACATTCCTAATAAACAATTCCTATACTTTCTACTCTTTACATTATCCTCTGCTAACACGCATTAACAAGAGTTAAATGTTAGGGAATATTCTGATTGCCCCCTAGGAAGTATTGGGAAACCCAGCCTACACAGCATTGGCTGTGGGCCTGTCATTGTTTTCCAGCTGCGGCATATATGTCATTCAATATCCTCAAATTACAAGATTTCTTAGGTCTGTATTAGGGCACAGACCAATTCCTAAGACTTCATAGTCATTTTGGGTACATAGGGGAACTGATTTCAACTTCAAACTGCCCTGGTATGAATTTATTGTATATATACTTTTGTATATACTTATTTTATATATACTTATTTGTGTATATGTTGTACATATTATTTTCTATAAAAAGAAAGCTCCTTACAAAAAAAATTAAAAGATTTCTGACTTTGGGTGACAAGAATCAAGAAAGTTTTTTAGTTTAGAGATATAAAAGTCATGGAAATTACCTTTAGTAACAAAGATCATGAAAAAGAAAATTATTAATATTCTACAAGCAAGCAATTCAGACTATTAATAGAGCATGGACTATACTTTCAAAGAGAAATCTTAATTTTTTATTATTCTATAGCTCATAATTCTCTAAACATTTTATTCATTCAGTTCAATTGTGCCTACCCACCTAAAATAAACCTGGAATGGAAATGGAACACAGTTTGTGTATATTCACTCTCTTTTCTTTACAGAAATGATTCTATGAATAGATGATACATGAACTTTCAGTTGCTTATAAGATAACCCATAGCCATCCATTTTTTTAATCCATATTTTTTGGCCAGGTTTCTCTTGTGATCAATGGTACACACTGAAGAGATAATCAGCCAATGGTAGTGATGGTATTCATGTGAAACCCTATTCTCAAAAAGATCAAGTCTACAACCCTAGCCACATCAATGTTATGCCCAGTCTAAATGAATTCATCATCCTAGACTAGTTAAGTTTACAGAGCACCCATTTTCATGAATTAAGATGGGTAGCAATGAGTTTAAAAGGAGGCTATGCTTAACGCAATGAAAAGAACAACAATTTTTTTAAAGAATATGTTTATTTTACATTCTAATTAAAGGGAACTCAGTAACCATGAGCTATCATTGTTTTTTTTTTATCAAATCCTTAAGATTTTTTTTCACTTACCCCTCACATCCACTTCATTAACATGATCTCAGTTTTTCTAACTGTACAATTTCTATGGTGTCCTGATACTTCAAAAGAATGAAGGAATAACTTCTTTGCTATGCAATCTTTTTATGACATTATATCTCGGTTAAAGATTGTGTATGGTAAAAGCTAAATCAAAAGGAAATATTGCCTTCAGAAGTAAATGCAATAGTAAGTCAACATGTCAAGTCCTTGTGATTTTTTTGGCATAGGAACTCCCTCCACCAGCACAGATTGAAACTGTCTGTGGACTTTGAAAGAGCTGTCTGAGACTCACAGAGGGTTAGTAACTTATCCATGGTCCAATGCTTGGAAGTATTAGAGGTGAACTTTGAACTCAGATCTTGCCAACTCCAAGTCCAGTACTCTACCCATTATACCACACTGCCTCTTTCAGTAGCAGTACTGTAGCAGATAGTACACTATCACTTTTTGGAACTTCCGATCTAGAAAATCTAACCAAGTTAGTGTGATCAAAGTAAGAGTCAATTTCCAATATTGTATAATCTTAGGAATTAAAAAAAAAAAACCAGAAGGGCTTAAAATACCATGCCAAGATCTTGTTCATATCAGTGTAGAAGCCATTTTAATCCATCTCTTCCTACATTAAAGACATTCTCTCTCCCTCACCACCCAACCCCCATGCCCCATTCAAGAAAAACTCATCTAAGTGAGACATTCCGATCCAGGCAGAGGGAGTCAGATCATACTCCTGTGCTTGGTATGAGAGCCCTAAAGATTTGTGCAGCGGCTGCATAAGAGCCAGACGCCAGCTACTCATCAGCGACTCAAGTTTCATTTGAGTCAAACTCTCTTCTGAAAACAAGCCATTTTTAGAATTTTTACCATCAAGATTTGGAACAAAAAAAATGGAATGTTAATCAAATATCAGGACCTAAGCATGTGATAAGAGGCAGCATAGCAAAACCTATAGAGGGCCAGCTGTAGAATAAGGAAAATTCATGTCCTGCCTCAGACCCATACTGTGTGACCGTGTGCTGTCATTTAAGCCTCCAAGTTGCTAAACATCTGCTGATCTGCACTGGTGGACAGAATTTCTACCATTTGGGGAAGCCAGGTAGCACAGTGGATAGTGTCAGACCTGGAATCAGGAAGACCTGAGCTCAAAGCTGATCTCATACACTTATCAGTCATGTGATTCTGGCTATTTGCCTCAGTTTCCTCATCTGTCAAATAGAGATAATAACAACACCTATTTTGTAGGGTAGCTGTGAGGATCAAATGAAATAATAATAAACGATCAATAAACATTTATTAAGCACCTATTACGTGCCAGTACATGACACAGAGTGAGCACTACATAAACGTTATTTATTGATCATTATTATTTCCACACAAGGAGTTCCCTACCTTGATAAAATCACAGGTTTAGATCATCCTCCCGCCAACCCCCCCCAAATTCAAACAATATAAATCCTTTTGCATACATGTAAACTAAAAACAATAAAATAAAAGTAGGACCCATTGTGTTGAAAAAAATTATATGGGAGAATATTAAAAGCTATATAGAACTTGACAGAAAAATACCTAAAATCAATAGCATTGAGTCCAAGCAGCATGCCAGCAAGCATATTTGCTTCTTCACCCAAGACAATGGCTCCATCTTCATAAAATCTCCTGGAAAAAATGAAACAGTTGAATGTACAAACTAATTAAAAGCAAACAAATTTGATATAAAGAACAACGGACTCAATAATAACTGTGGTTCTTTATGTGATTTATTTAAAATAAAAACTTAAACTTATTAGGCTTTATAAGATATATGAAAAACCATTTACACGTATTCTTTAAAAATTGTTAATGGACCTAAAGTCATCAGTATTTTTCAATAATGCCAAAATGCTAATTCAATCTATGAAATTCTTTTCCATTCATAGGAGTTTAGCAAAGTTTTTACAAACTGTTGGGTCCATAGTTTATACCTACATCTTACTAGGTCCTATATTATTCTTATATCATATCTGCCTACATATTCAGAGTTCTCTGGCTACAGATACACAGGAAAATGTTTAAAAGAAGCAATTAAAACGTTTTATGCTTGGAGTCTGACTTTTCTTAGGTCTCAGAACACACATAGATCAATGCTTATGTTTTCTATTGATGACTTTTTTTTTAGCTATTAAAAGACAAAACAAAATAAAACTCTAGAAAGCCTAACTTTTGCAAAATATTCTAACCTTCAATACTGCAGGGATGATAGGATAGATAAGATGCCAGAGTAATGAATGATATATGAAAAAAAGTTTATTGGTCAATGTCACTGCCAAATCTGAATAAGGAAGCCATGTTGGTCTAAATTCAGTCAAGGCTCCTTTTTTTCATTAATGTTAAGAAGAATATTTATGAAAAGCTGAGATATGAATCCTAAAGCACTTGCTAAAATAGGAGACTTCAGGGAATTTTAACCTATTATGTTAATGCATCCAAAATCTGTTGTTTTATCCATGTTTGGATAAAGCATGTATTCCCTCTAACAATCATGATGACAACCCCTCCCATGCCTCCGTGTTCTATGAAATTAAGTTGTGTCCCAAGAAATTAACTCCAACCTAGGGGCCAATCTTCTAGTAAAAAGCTTCTCTGTATTTACTTAGGCTGGTCCTCTGATGACAGATGCACAGTCTTATCATAAGAAGTAGACCAGCAGCCTTTCCAGCTTGGTAGCACATGTCAGAATCTATGCTTGGCTAGCATCACCTTCAAGAATCAGTCACCTTCATGTCATGCTGAGGTAGCTGAATTGGACTTTAGTAGAGGTTTATTAATGAGATGATAATAAGTGGAAACCTTGTAACAAAATAATACTAATGAACCAAGATACAACTAATTTGATCTAATGAGTTATCATCAGAAGTCTTTAAATTAGTATTTACATTAACACAGGCAATGAAGAATGTAATTTGTTTTCATAAGAAGATTTCACTAAATCTATTTAGGAGTAGCATCTTCCTTGTTTACTTTTTCACATACATGGAACTCATTTTAAATCCAAGAAGGAAAATAGAAAAAAACAATTTGTTAATATTGTAATACTTAATATAGATTTTTAAATAAACAAAAGACACAGAAAAAATAAAAGACAGTTACTTACTCTCTGTCTATAAGGCAGGCAATACATTTTCAGGAAGGAGATTGAGGCTGAGAGAGGTTAAGGGACTTGGTCAGGATAACACAGCTACTCCTGACCAAGTCCCTTAACCTCTCTCAGCCTCAGTTTCTTCATCTGTTAAAGGGGGTAATAATAGCACCAATCTCACAAGGTTGTTGTGAGGATCAAATGAGATAACATATAAAGCACTTTGCAAACCTTGAATGACTGTATAAATGCTGTTACTAGAGGAAGCACTAAGGTATATTACTAATTCCAAGGGAAAAGGTGTCAATGTCATCCTCTGCAGAGGTCTATGAACTATTATCATTATCATCATTATTGTTGCTGTTATTATTATTATTATTATTTTGATAGCTGTGTTTCAATATAGGTGGTTTCCTTTGTAAGGGTATGTATTTTATTTTTTGCATCAAAAGCCATTATTCTGAGAAAGGGTCCATAGGTTTCCCCAGACACTGCCAATGGCATCCATCATACACAAAAGATCTTCACCAAAATGCATTGCAACTCCCTGCCTGACCCTCTCAGAATCCCTGGTTTCCTCCAATGCTCAGCCCATGTGCCACATAAAGCTTTTCCCAATCTCACTAGGTGCCAGCACTCTCCTTCCAAAATAACATGATTTTATATATATACACACACACATCCATACGCACATCTCCCCCAACTACACTATAAACTCTTGGAGGCCAGGGACTATCTCACTTTTGTCTTTGCATACTCAGTGCCTAACATAGCACACCATTTAGAGAAGGCTTTTAGTAAGTACTTGCTGACTGATTCCACAAGGTCCTCTAGGTAGTCACCGAGAGACAGAGAGAGATGTCCTTTGCTACCAAAACCTCTGAGTTTTTATCTTCTTTGGAAGTCTTTGTATGTGTCTTAACCTTTGATAATCACACCTGAGGTGTCAATATTTTTTTACTAGAAATTGGATTCCAAATACCAACAATTTCAAAGGATTTCACATGATTACAAATAAATACTATCTTTCCCATTTTTTCTCATGGAAAAATTGAGGCACAAATGAGATTTGGCCATGTCAACAAGAATATACAACAAATGAGAGAAGATAAGAATCCAGGGTGACTAATTCAAATAATATTCAAATACGAACTTCAAGACATTCCCTTTCTTTCTTGAAAAATATTTCTTTGTCCTAAAGAAAATATTTCTATAACAAGAACCTAACCAAAATAACATAGTGAACTTCAAAAATATATTCCAAAAGATATTCCAGAGGAACTGTTCTCAAGCTTAAAAAACCTATAAAGCAAATTAGTTCCAACGGTAAATTAACCCTTTTCTTTAAAAATGTTTTTTGTTAGAAAGCAAATACATGCTAAGCTCCTTACTCTGAACAGCAAAAAGCCTGTTCATTTTGTTTTTGGAGGTACACTCATTTTTTCTTACCATTAAGACATTTAAGGAATCAGAAAAGAATCTAAGAAGTAACTGTACTTCCACATGTACTTGGCTCATTGGTAATGTATATCTATAACGGAGGCATGTGGAGGAAGTATGGCATAATCAATAGATTGCTGAACTTGGGAGTTAGAAAGACCCAGGTTCAAATTCCATTTCCAACACAGGGTGTAGGCCAATCACTTAGTGCCCCAGGAAACTCTCTGACTATCAGGTAACGAGCAGTTGCGGTTTTCCATTCCTACGGAGAGTTTCCTTACCAGGAATTCTCATCACCAAAGAAATCACCGATGGCGACTAGGCTGCACTACAGCTGAAAAATACTGGAATTTCATGCTACTCTCCACGATGATACTTTGCTATGGATTCCATTCTGTACAACTTCCTGCGAGGTTATTTAAACGCTTTTGGTCACGAAAGGGCTAAAGTCCTTTGGGTTTACTTATCCTAGATCTAGCCTCGCTTTCAATGTCAAACTCCCACAAAACTATCTATAGTCACTGCCTGTCCTTTCTCTTCAACTACTCACTTTTCAGCTTTTATAGCCTACACTCGAACCCTGCCACTTAACTGAACCGGTCTCTCCATGGTTGCCAACAATCTCCTAACTGCTCAACCCGTTGGCCTTGTCTTAGTCCTCCCATTTCTCGTCAACTGTGTCAAAAGCTACTGAGAGGCTCACTTGCTCCTCCTGAACACTCTTCTTTTGCTTCTGTGCCCTAATTCTAGCCTACTCTTCCTCCCACCAGTCCAAGAACTCCTCCAACTCAATGCTGATATCATTATCTCCCGCGTCTCAAGTGTGAATGTCCCTGAATGTTCTTTCCTAAGCCTGCTTCTCATCTATTCATGTTCTTTCTTGATCATCTTATCAACTCCTGGGGGCTCAATTACCACCTTTATATGCACAATTAATTCTCAAATCTATATATCTAGGCTGAGTTTCTCCCTTTCCTACAGGAACTTTAGTTCTGTAGTACCAATTGCCTGGACATCTCCACCTGTAAGTCACATTGGCAACTCAAACTCAACATGGCCAAATGAGACATGATCACCTCCACAAAATCCATCCCTCCTCTATACTTCCCTATTTCCCCTGAGAGCACTACCATCTTCCCAATCACCCAGGTTCATAACCTAGGAATCATCATTGACTCTTCCTTCTCCCTCACACCTGAAATCCAAACAGTTGGTTAAGTTGTGTTGATTCTGTCTTCAAAACAATGCTTGAATCGAGCTCCCTCTCTCTACTCATATAGCCATCCTAGCTCAGGCCATTATTACTTCTCATTTGAATTAATGTAGTAGCCTCTTAACTGGTATCCCTGACTCCAAACTCTCTCTAACTGATCCTGCCATTTTAGCAGCTTAGCTACTAAAAATAATCTTCCTAAGGTACAGATCTGACCATATCACTGTCCTGATTAGAATCCTGTAGTGGTTCCCTTTTGCCTCTAGAATAGGATACAAACTTGTCAATCTGACATTGAAGGTGCTCAGTCAGGTGACTCGAGCTTAACACTCCAGCCTTATGTACTCCCTTAGCTGAGGGATTCCAATATCTAGTAAGCCTTTCCTGCCCTTTCCAGTGGTTAGTGCTTCATCTCTTATTAGAGATGTGTGTGTGTACATGTATATACATATACTCATACATATATGTGGGTTTCATCCCACACCTTTCTTTCCTCAAAACTAGTTCTCTATTTACTACACCACACTGCCACTCTTGGTGAATAATAAACCCTTAAAAAATCACATATGGGGGGCAGCTAGGTGGCACAGTGGATAGAGCACTGGCCCTGAAGGCAGGAGGACCTGAGTTCAAATCCGGCCTCAGACCAAACACTTGACACTTACTAGCTGTGTGACCCTGGGCAAGTCACTTAACCCCAACTGCCTAAAAATAAAAAAAAAATCACATATGGGGGCAGCTAGGTGGCTCAGTGGATACAGCAACAGCCTTGAAGTCAGGAGGACCTAAGTTCAAATCCAGCCTCAGATCAAACACTTGACACTAGCTGTGTGACCCTGGGCAAGTCACTTAACCCCAATTGCCTAAAAAAAAAAATCATACATGAAA